GTTTGCTTTTTTTTTTTACTTAATATTCCTAACCTGGTAAACTTTGGCCCATTTCATGTAAATCATTGTCGCCATTGTAATGGCTGTACTGTGTGTGTGGAATACGAATATATAATTTTTTTTGTTTTGTTTTACCTAGAATCCAACTCTGTCCACCACTGATGTGCAGTTAAAAAAAAGTATTTTCTTTTCAAAAGACTTAAAAAATAATAAACTTTTAATATAACGTGCACTTGCAAAATGCTCAAAATCTACAATCCTTCAGTTGTAACATCTTTCATATACTTTTTAAACCTTTGTTCTTTTGGCACACTGTAGTTATCTCTACAGTTCAAGGGTGAATTGTACCATGTGACCATCTCAGGTTCAGATGCTGCCCAATCTTTCCTGTGTGTGTGGTTGTGTTGTATGTGGGTGTTTTTTTAATTCTCGTGGCTTGAGTTTTGCTGAGTCATGTAGCTTGGCCTTGGAGTGTAAATCATTCATACTACTGTAAGTGATCTTTTTCTATGGTCTCTAACAACTCCTTTTATTCGACCGTGTAAAGTAGATTTAAAATAAAGTATTTGCTGTACACTAATCCTATACTTATGAAAGAAGAATACAGAAAGAAAATGGAGATTTGTTTTTTTTTTTCCTTGGCTTCAGGTTGAAAAAGAGACGTGTGAGTGAAAATATAGCTAAATATTTTGCGTGCATATAAATATAAATTCTTCAATATCATGACCTTGAAAGTACTGTCAGGGTTCCATATCAATGGCAGTATGATTGGTAGCAGCAAATTGCAGTCATCAAGTCAGTATCAAACTATGCATGTGCGGTCTTTTGCTCATATCATTCAGACAACAAAGTATAATAGTGGCATTTACTTGCGCATATGCTGGGACGTGCATGTCCCCACCTTCCACAAACCAGTAGTATGAATTTCCATGCACGATGCAGGAAGACCCCCATGCGCACAGTGAAACAGACTTTCTGCTTCTTCAACTGCACATGTGCAGATTTGTCAATGACAACAGTAGATATTGCAGCAAGGATGCATGTGTGATAAAGCAGTGATATGTGAAGTTGCTGGTGCACATGCATGGGTCATTGTCACCATATTTGTGGTGATCATTGACTACAATTTCACGTATGTGCAGTTTGGACATCCAGGTGACAGTCTAATGGAGGGCACGGTGGTGGCTTCTTTTTTGCCTAGCTGTCACTGCTGCTGAAGGAGGGCCACTACCTTGCAAGTTATGCCCAGTATCCAGCTGATATCTACATGAGACCAGTGGGTCAGGGTAGGAAGCAGTACATTGCAGCTTGTCATTGGGTCATCTGTGAGTGGGGATCAGGGTGTAAAAGCATCTGGGCATAAGAGGGGCAACCACACCATTCCTCCCCCCCCCCCCCCCCTTTTTTTTTAATCACTCTACCAAATGCTTCCAAGCTCCCACCATTCTGCTAAACACACCACTCTACCTGCTATTACCCGTCTGCCAAAAGTACCCCCACACTTAAAATTCTGCAAAACGTCCACCCACCCCTTCTTACCCTTCTGCAGAATTGAACTGGGGATGCAGAGTGAGAGTGGAAACATAGAAGACAGAAAGTAACATGAAATAGTGTTGACACTCTTCATCAAAAATATGCATAAAAAGTAGGTTAAATCATTTCCAATGGCATAGTTTACACAGGGGCAAGTTCCAGGGTGTTCTGGTTCCAGGGAAAAAAGTAAAACGTGCTGCATTTTTGTGGCACTGGAGTGTGCTGGTACATGGTGAAAAAGAAGAAAAACATAAGACAAAACATCTGGAATGCATCCATAATGTATTAACCATTTGCCCTCCAGAGGATTTACCCCCCCCCCCCCCTTCCTGACCAGGCCATTTTTTGGGAGACGACGCTGTGTTAATTTAGCTGATAATTGTGCGGTCATGCAATGCTACACCCAAATGAAACTTATGTCCTTTTTTCCCACAAATAGAGCTTTCTTTTGGTGGTATTTGATCACCGCTGCATTTTTTTTAATTTTTTTTGCTATAAACAAAAAAAATACCAACAATTTTGAAAACAAAAAAACCCACAATATTTTTGACTTTTTGCTACAAAACATCCAATAAAAAAAATTAAAAAAATATTTCTTCATAACAATTTAGCCCAAAATGTGTTCTGCTACATGTCTTTGCTGAAACAAAATCACAAGAAGTGTATATTAAATTATTTAGATGAAGGTTATAGCCTCTACGTGTGTGTGTGTGTTTGGAATTTTTATTTATTTTTTTTAATACTGGTAATGGCGGCAATCAGCGACTTATAGTGGGACTGCGGCAGGCATTCTGACACTGGGTGGGAGCTAACTGCCACTGACCTCTCCAGTGATACTTAATACAGTGATCAGTACTAATAAAAAGCACTGGCACTGTACTAGGCAGGAAGGGGTTAACATCAGGTGTGATCAAAGGGTTAACTGTGTGCAGTGTGTGATTTACTATGTGTGTTGTGTATTACTTGGGAGGCATGCTGTTTTGTATCTCTCTGCTGTGTAGAGAGATACAAAGAAGCATGTCCATGCTGACAGGAGAGAGATGTGTTTACACACAGATCCCTCCCTGCCGACTATCACTGAGTCCTGGCCAGAAATTGGCGGCCGTGCCCCGGTTATTGACATATCCAACAGCCAATAGCGGCGTGGGTAAGGTGGTGCGTGCGCCCCATACCCGGAAAATGCAAAATCATGTAATTTTGTGTGATTTTTGTGCATCGGAGCTGCCCTGTAGCTGTATATCTGCTCTTAAGTGGTAAAAACGTTCATGCAGACACACATTTGGAACGGATCTGGAGTGCGTGTTTTTTTTTTTTTTTTTTTTTTTTCTTGTGTGGTGTGAACCAGCCCTAAATAAGATTAGAGTAATGCACAAAAGCATTGAGCACACAGTAGGAGCTAATAATTGAGGAGCCAGTTTACTGAGTCTTTAGTACTTGCCTGCTAGTAATTACTTTTGAATTTCCCTAACCATGGGTATCTTCAAAAGGACAGGTTCAGGAAAAGCTGTGTCATAGATGAAAAGATGAGGTAGTCCAAGAAGAACCCCATCCAGGAGGTTATACATGCCTATATGGTGACACAGTCCTCCATAGAGGGCATGGTTCAGTGCCAAATCACTGCATTTTATCCTAAAATGGACTTTAACTCAATAGGGAACAATTTGTTATGTTATACAGTGGGTAACATCAGAAATGTGAATTGTGCCTAAGCAGTACCTGAAAAAATTTATGTTTTTATTTTGAATTCCCCTAAATATTAGCAGTGTACTTCCTGGTATGCGACTGCCTAGACACTCCTGTGCATACAGCATTTATAGCTGGATTCTGCAGTGTGAGATCTAAGGCACTTCCGCCTCTGACTGCTAGTCTCAAGAGATTTGGGTGAGGTTTGGTGTCAGTGCTGTGCTTCTCACTGTTCTCCGTGCTAGAGGCTCTGACTTGAAAAAGGAAAACCCTGTCTGCCAAGATGGCTACCTTCACACAGACATCATGCAGAACAAGGCATGGTGGGTCAATGATGGCATTTTAGATACTGATGATGGGGCTTAAAACCAGACTTTCCAAAAGCCCTGTGTAAACATGAATTTGCTGTAGTAGCTGACTTTTTTTTTTTTTTTTTTTTTTGAGCCATTCTGCTCTCTTGATGATTTGGTATGTGAACATATTCTACAAAGAGAGGGAATTAATTTTAGTGGTTGCTTGTGCAGTATTCATTGAAGTCTTGTTCAGCACTCCATGCCTTCTGGATGTTGGGTCTTTCTTGGTTGCATAACATACAAGACTATGAGAATTCTCAAGTTCAACAGGTAGTTGATCCAGGAATTTATACGATTGCCAGTATGGGGCCACTGGCAAGAATGAGAAGGAAAAGGGGAAATTGGCCTATGCCTGTAGCGATTGATTTTTTTTTTTAAACACAAAGTCAGACCTTTGGACTCTTTGAAAGCACTAAACATACAGTGACATTTTTAACTGGGGCTGCAGAGTTTCACAGATGGCAGCAGCTGTCAAACTTGCTCATTGAGTCCAGTAGGGCTACACTGCAGCCGCAAGCCGAATGGTTGATTGACTCACAGTTGCGGTACGGTCCTGAAATGTAAAATTGGCATTGGTCAATTTAAAAATGGAAAAAAAAAAAAAAAAAACAGGTTCAGTAAGCGGCAGTAGCTGGTATGCTTTCCCATGAAAAGCAATCCACTGCAGATCACTTTTCAAATAGTGGTAAGCGTTTTACCCATGCGAAACAGAGCTTAAAGGGAAAATGGATAACTATGATCAAGTGGCGCTGCATTATGGCATTAAGGGAGTTGAGACAAATGCCTCATACACACAGGATTTCCCTGCAGGCTGAATTACCATGCTGAGCTATATGTAATGGTCAGCAGGAATTTTTTTTTTTGTCTTAAAATATGGCACCCCTTGTTTTATGGCCTGCAAGAGTACACTATTCTGTGTATATAATCTATACACCACAGATTTTATTACAGGATTATACATGTCTTTGTTTTCCTTAACACAGACTATTTTATACCTGAGTATGTGTACTTTAGAATACAATGTGTGGATTTACAAAGTGAAGTTCTAGATTTCACTTTTAATTCAGTTGCGTACTGCTGAAGTATTTGAATAGCATGGTGTGTAATAGTCACAGGCAGTTCAGTACTTCTCATGGGCAAGTCAAGTAAGTTTATGAATGGTGCCAAAGGACAAGGTCTAAAGAGCAGCAACCAGTTATTTATTATTTTGCTGCTCTACTTTTGCATGTTGTTGATTGTTCCTCTAACCTGTTAAAAAAAACAAACGGGGTTGTCTAATATCCACACACAAAATTATATATAAAAAAAAAATAGACGTTCTGAGCAAGACATGTTTCCTCAGGATGAATATATTGTATATAGAACTTATTTCTACTAGTTTTTTCCTCAATTGTAAACACAGATTGACTGCTTTGTTTTATTTGACTTTAGCATCCAGGTGGAGAGGAGGTGCTACGAGAACAAGCTGGAGGGGATGCAACAGAGACCTTTGAAGACATCGGTCATTCCACAGATGCCAGGAATATGTCCAAAGACTTTGTCATAGGAGAACTTCATCCAGTGAGTTGATGTTAATTGCAGTACCTATATACATATTATTTCACATTCAAATACACTGCTCAAAAAAATTAAAAGAACACTTTTCAATCAAAGTATAGCATCAAGGCAGTTAAACTCCTGGAATATTTATTTGGTCAGTTAAGTAGCAGAGGGGGTGTTATTCAGTTTCAGCTGCTTTGGTGTTAATGAAATTAATAACAGGTGCACTAAATGGGCAACAATGAAACGACTTCCAAAACAGGAATGGTTTTACAGGTGGAGGCCACTGACATTTTTTTTTTTCCCTACTCCCTCTTTTCTGACTGTTTTTCACTAGATTTGCATCTGGCTAGGGTCAGTATCACTACTGATAGCATGAGACAATACCTGGACCCTACAGAGATTGTACAGGCAGTCCAACTCCTCCAGGATGGCACATCACTACGTGCCATTGCCAGAAGGTTTGCTGTGTCTCCCAACACAGTCTCAAGAGCATGGAGGAGATTCCAGGAGATAGGCAGTTACTCTAGGAGAGCTGGACAGGGCCATAGGTTCCTAACTCATCAGCAGGACAGGTGCCTGCTCCTTTGTGCAAGGAGGAACAGGATGAGCACTGCCAGAGCCATACAAAATTACCTCTAGCAGGCCACTGGTGTGAATGTCTGACCAAACAATCAGAAACAGACTGAGGGTGGCCTGAGGGGCCGACGTCCTCTAGTGTGGGCCCTCTGCTCACTGCCTGGCACCATGGAATTTAATTGGCATTTGCTATTGAACACCAGAATTGGCAGGTCCACCACTGGCATCCTGTGCTTTTCACAGATGAGAGCAGGCTCACCCTGAGCACATGTGACAAACGTAAAAGGGTCTGGAGAATCCGTGGAGAACGTTATGCTGCCTGTACCATCATTCAGCGTGACCATTTTGGTGGTGGGTCAGTGATGGTCTGGGGAGGCATATCCATGGAGGGGCGCACAGACCTCTACAAGCTAGACAATGGCACCCTGACTGTCATTAGGTATCGGGATGAAATCCTTGGACCCACTGTCAGACCCTACGTTGGTGCAGTGCGTCCCGGGTTCTTCCTGGTGCATGACAATGCCCGGCCTCATGTGGCGTGAGTATTCATCTGTGATGTGGATATCCCAGGAGGCAGCAGGTGGGTGATCTATGCCACCCCTGTTTGTTTAATCAAGGAATCAGGAAGTGGGTCAGAAGTGACTGTGCAAAAGAACAAAAGGTATATTTTTCAGTATTTTAAAAAAAAAAAAAAAAAAAGCCTGCAAATGTGAAAGAGGGAGTGGGGAGGAAGCAGAGAAGAGGAAATGCATTGTCTGGGTGAGAAGAGTCCACAAACGAAAATGTACGCCTAGGTTGATTTCCCCTAAAGGTAGACCAACAGTGCTCCAAAGCTTCCTGGCACTTTAAACAGCATAAGAGTATAAGGTGGCGAGCTTGCAACTCGTTCTCCCAATTAAAAGTACTTTGCTAATAAAGGGTACAGTGTGCACGTTACACCAGCTTATTCGTTTTGGTAAGAGAAAAAAAAAAACAAAACAGCCTTGAATAAGGTTTTTTTTTTTTTACCGAAATGCGTAAGCTGCTGTAACTTGCACACTTACCCTTTATTAATAAAGTACTTTTATTTGGAGAATGAGTTACTGGCTCTTCATCCTATACTCTCAAATTGTCTGAGTGACTGTCCGCTCTAAGATTTTTTATATTTTAAAAGAAAGAATCAGGTTACAGTTGTGAAAATATATTATTGCTCTAGTCTGGCCAAACAGGAGTTGGGTAGGCAACATGCTTTAAGCTAGGTTTACATTTGTGCATTTACAGGACTGTGTGCAAAATTCCACAATGCACAAAAAAGTGCATCCCTTTTTCAGATGCATGGCTGTTAATTCTTAGCACCTCAATGCACCTATCAACATGAAGACCAGAATGCATGGTGACAAAGTACTATGTGTTTTGGTGCTAAATACTATGCCTTTTCTGCAATTTTTTAATTTTTTTTGCCAGTAACACATTTCCTGTCCTAAGGTGACAACAGTCACGCACTATACTATATAGAGGAGCAGCATTGTCACTCTAAGTGGCTCTCTGGTTTCAGACTTTAGAACACATCGCACTCTCCCTCTCTTTATAATGAAGGATGTGTTTTGTAGCCCAGATAGAAGTGGCCAGGGTTGACAATGCTGCTAGGGATTTCAGTGCAGCAGGAGCAGAGTGCACAGATCTGACCAAACCATTTCAGTGGTATATTTAACATATCAAAAACAAATAAGTGAAATTTATTGTTTGGGATACCACAATGTAAAGATGCTAAAATGTACAGATTGTAAAACCGTAATATTTTTTTTTTTTTCCCAAGGATGACCGATCCAAAATCCAGAGGCCTACAGTAAGTTGTCACTTTACTTGGAAACTATGAACAGTTAGACAAGGACATACTGTAAGATGGACATTTAGCAGACATCCATCTCTGTATTTTCTTTAAAAAACTGTTTGACTGTGTGAGGAAAAAAATTAGTTGAGCTTTATAACTATTTATTTGTACTTTTTTGTACTTTTTTGCACTTTTTTTTTTCTTGCTTTAGAAGAAACCTACCCTGAAAAAAATACAGGGTTGCAACTGCCATCCTCCTGGAAATCCCAGTTGCCTGGCTGCAATGCTTTCTGAGTCATTGACCTGTAAGAAGTGTAAACATCAAAAAATATGACTTCACTCCAACTACCTGCTCCAGGTCATTGACTAACAATGTGTTCAAACCCAAAGATCAACACGACAGATTTAATAGCATTTTTTTTTTATGGAGGTCAGCAGTGGCGAAATGGGCATTTCCTTTAGCATAGGGTTTATTTAATATTGTAAATGAAAACATTTATGTAGACACACATATATATTTAAACTATTATTTGGTGTAAGTAGCTATTTTAGCTTTTTTTTTTTTTTTTTTTTTTTCTAATACTTAGAATTATGGAGTACTTTACAAGCCAGGTATTTGTAAAAAAAAAATGTATTTGTGGTAAAGGTATGCTTTTATTTTTCTTCTAGGAAACCTTTATTACTACTGCTGAATCAGATTCCAGGTATTTATGATGTTTTGTCTTTTAACCCAGATGTTCTTCCCTGTGCCATGAAAACATTACAGTGATCAACATTCTAGCTTGGAATACCTGTGCATGACCCTACTTCTTAGATACTACTGTTAATTACAACTGCAGATCTCAGACGTGGGGCTCTTGTACTTGGCTGTAAAGGGCCATACAGTATACAGAATTGTTGTATTTCTTTGGCCAGGAGTTACAGGTGAGGTGTACAGCCATGGAGTGCTGACTTATTCAGACCAATGATGGGCAATGCAGGTGTACAAGTAAGAGATTAGAGGGGTTACGTGTGTACAGGGACTTATGCACTGCCTCAAATGAAGACTGCACTAATGTAACTCCTCTGATCATATTATCCACACTCCCGCAATGTGTGTCATTGATTTGAATAGGTTAACAGTCTGCAGCTGTGTGCTGCAATTGTGCCTCACAGGAAAAGAAATGCACCCATTCTGTAAGCTGTTTGGCCCTTTTACTGCTGTGTTCATGAGCCAAACTAGTAAGAAACCAATGGATGTGATACTGATCATGTGATCACTATAGCTGGCAAGGTGTTGATCACATGTAGCCTGCAGGTGGCACACTGTCTATCTCTATCTCTCAGCACTGTACAATATCCTTTTAGAGTTCATTAACACCAGATGCCCTGGGATGCATTTGTGAATGCATTCCCAACGCATGGTAACCAAAAACTGGTTCCCTATGAATGCAGTTCACACTAGCGCGTTGCATTTCGTTTTCCCATTACGGAAAAAAAGTACAGCATGCACTACTTTTTTTTCTATTTTTTTTTTTTTTTTTTTTCCTATTTAGCACAACGTGTTCAAATGCACATCCGTTACATTAACACATTGCACTGCAAGGTAAAGAAAGAAAAGCAACGCATATAAAACACCTTTGAAAAAAGGGCACGAGTCAACTGTGTATCAAATAAGTTATGTAGCCACAGAACTATTGTTAACTAATGCATGCTGAAACTGCTAGATTTGCGATAGGCTTCAGTGACATCTGGTCATGAAGAAGTTAAGGGAGCCATAATATTATTGGGGGGTAATTTACTAAAACTGCAGCAGACAGAATATGGAGCATCTGTGCATCTATATTCAGCTTGTTCAGTTAAACTTTGAAAATTAAAATTTAGAAGCTGGTTGCCATACACAATGCCTCCAGATTCGGTCTGCTCCAGTCTTCGTAAATTCTCCTCCTTGTATGGAATCTATTGTTCGGAACAGATAAATGACTACAGTTATGCTATATGTACTCTGCATTATGTGATCAACCCCTAATGTACACAGAATTGCTTCTGTAAAGTAATAGTGAATACTTTATATTGGTTATATTGGTTTGTATCATTGAACGGCTTGCTGCAGACTTCTGTGTGGTACTGAGCCTGGTCTAAAAGTAAGGCCCCTTTCACACAGGGCAGACTCTGATATGATCAGTAGTGGATCTGTCCACTGTTCCCCTCTGATCAGAGCACAGCTGGCGGATGACTGGTCTGTTCAGATTATGCAGAACAGACACGAACAGAGCCCGCTGTGTGTCTGTTTTTAGTGGACCAGACCGAATCACATTGGACACAAGTCAGTTTACTCCCACCGGTCCATAGGGGTGAATGGAAGGTCCGATCAGGTTCATCTGAAAAACAGGACAGGCAGACCTGATCAAGCCTTTCAAGTGAAAGGGGCCTAACAGACTTCCAAACTTGTTCATGCCTTATATAAAATGTACATTTTAAAAGCCCAGGTTTAGATGGAAGTCTATGAATTCCCAGCAAGACAATATCTTTAGAAAACACCTTAGAAGAAAAGTATGATTATACTGCATCTGACCACTATCTCAAGCACATGATCAGCACAGATTACCTGTGTAATTACGATGTGTGTGAGTGCCTGCTGTTATGTATTCATGGCACTGGCACATTTTCCTGCTGTAGTCCTGTCATGAGAGAAGCACACAGGCTGCCGTTGTTGGCCGCCTGCTGAGAACACTAGATGTCTTATCTCTGTACTTGTTTCTGGTAAGTATCTCCAGCTCTTTTGCTGAAGCTTTGGTTTCAATGCTTTTGAATAACTAGGAGAGGTCAGCACAGACTGCCTACATAATACTCTTATGACAAGCTGGCTTTATTCAGGCAGCTTTAGAATTAATTTTTACAGTGATAATTTTTATTGGATTGTTGTAAAGGAGGAAAGAATTACCGAAAGTGGACTCTGCAAGTCCCAGTGTAGTCAAAATTGGGAAAACTGGGGTCAAGGATTATTGGGTTTCTTTTTTATTTCTATTGCGAAAGATTGGCCCAGTACTCTATTCCTTTTCTTCTATATTTACAGAATTATCCCTGTATGTTCAACTAAAGTCCACACGTATAATAATGTAGACAGTTTGTATTATACAGTTTAAAATGTAGGATGTTTATGAGAAATTCTAAAGTCGGCCATACATGGTTCGAGTCCCTGCTGAACCGGCTGAGGTTCAATCCATGTATGGACAGGCTGATTGTACCCAAGTAGACTGATAGCTTGACCTGGGTACAAACAGCCTGTCGGGTTTTAGCATGCAATTATTGCCAGCGGCTATAGTCACTAGTAGTAATCAGTGTGTTCTCCCAGCAGGGACGGCTTCCTGCTCCCAATTTGCTGGGAGAACAAATCGCTCCATGGGAGGGATTACCCCATCAACACTTACTGTGTTTGATGGGGGAATCAAGCAAATATTTTTTTTTCGTTGTTCCTGCAACCCTGGGTTGCAGGAAAGAAAATTGCATCCTATATAGCTTGCCTAACACCCCGGTCACATCAACCCGACTTTGAAATTGTGCGACTTCGCTGTAAGTTGCACAATTTCAAAGTCGGGGGACGTGCCGATTTCAAGTGCAATTTGCAAGACATCTGACTCAGATGCCTCTGCAAATCTCACGAAAAGTAGTGCATGTACTACTTTAAAAATCAGTGCAGCTACAACCAAGTCGGAACCGCACCGATTTGACTGCTGTAATTGTGGACAATAGGGTGCATCTTGGCATACGATTTGGAAGTCGCCTGGTCTGGCATGCAAATCGCAGCCGATGTGACCGGGCGGGGGCTAAAGGCTGTTCAATTTGAAAGTCTCATGGCCCTTATTTTGAAGGTCATGAGATCTTTGCTCATTAGAATGAATGTGTGGTAACAAAACCAGCAGGTTTAGCATGTTTTGTGTTTGTGTTTGTTTTTTAACAGCTGATAACACTTGTAGACAATGACAGTTAATAAATACTTTTTTTTTTTCAGTTGGTGGAGTAACTGGATCATTCCCGGCATATCAGCTGCTATTGTTGCCTTAATGTATCGTTTTTACATGGCAGAAGAATAAGATATATGACAGGAATTGTGGAAGAAATACTATTTCCGATCTGAAAATATGATCATCATTTTACGATGGCAGAATAAGATGTAGTGTATGAACTGTGCCAACCAAGTCCGTCTCCTGCTGTTTCTCATTGAATCCATTACGTTAAAATTAATTTGCATTCCATTTTAAACTTGGTAAAGAATATAAAGTCTTGCCTAAAGCAGGCACCACAAGATATGTGCTATTACCTTTATACGTCACAAATGTGTTCTCTGTGCCTCCGTCTGATTTAGCTGTACTTTGTTACTGGGGCCCGAAGTTTCCAAATTTCATAGGCAAGCTCCAGCAACTGTCAGTCTCATTGGATAGTGAAACGATTGTACAGCTTACCCTTGTCATGGATAGTCAGGCTCCAGTAACTAAAAAAAACTACATCAGCGGGTAATATAGAAGAGGAGCTTCTGGACATGAAATGTTAAACATCTTGTGATGTCTACATCTAGGCAGGACTTTTACCTTTTAAATTGTGTTAAAGGGAGTACAGCTAATTACAGTTAAGACATCCGAGCCATTAATAACTTTTATATGTACTTATAAGTGACCTGATAACAAACTACAAAGTGTGACATGTTTTCACCTAAGAGTTTTTATTGTTATGCCCTTTCTCAGCTCTCCATGTTCTATACTTGTCCTTAATAGAAATTACCATTGCTGACCTGTCTTTCTGAAAATGCTAGGTCCCCAGTGTCTTGCTAATACAGTTGTTTCAGAACTTTCTGAGTCCCTAACTTGGAACGTTCAGAAGCTCTGACTACTCAGACTGTCATCATCTGCATACTCTTTCCAGGTCTGTGACTTTAATTTATTGAAGCCAGAGACAGCAAGGCAACTAGCAGCATCAGATCAAGGACAGCATTAGTGGCATCCATATTTAAATCCCATACACACGCTGTTATACAAACCTCCTTTCTGTATAATAGGTGAAAAAACTCATGCTGTTCTTTCTAATCAGCTGAGTGTGGAACCTATGTGCTTGAGGGCAGATTTTAGAAATGCTGCTGTCAGATTTGTCCATATCCGTAGTGTGCTCTGCTCCCTTATACTGTATATTGAGGGCCTTGACTTTTAAAGGAAGGTTAATAGCAGTGATGATGTACAATAACCCATAACAGGCTTCAGTTTACTGTCATTGGATTTGTATGGATGATTTCTGATTGAATCTTGGGGTTAATACACATTTTACACTCTCCCTTGTCCTAAAGCGAGGCTGAAAGGTAGAGAAATGTTAGCTGTTACCACTTAATTTTTAAAGGTGCAGGCTCTATGGATGTCACCTTGATCCTGGCATCAATACCTAGTGAGTCAGGGATCTAGAATAAACTTTTTAGCCAGAAAGTTGGAAATGTCTGAGCTTGCATTCTTGTTCCAGGTGAGAGGCTTAATAAGCAGTGATGTCAGATCAGCAGGACAACCCCTTTAAAAATAAGTCAGCAGTAGCAGCGCTTATTCTTCTATCCTTGCAGATTTTGGATTCCTGTTAAGTAATAGAGGTTGACTGTTCTCAACCAATCCTATTAATGGTATAACCATGAAACTTTACAACATTCTCCTATATAAACTACTATTTTTATTGTATTCTGTGGTTTGATAGACACCACATCTTTCAGAGACCTGTATCAATTTTGTGAATCACTAGGACTTTTCAGGTGCCAGAAACAACTATTAACACTAATGTAAAACTCATATATTGTTATGTTTACATCATATAATAAAAAAATGAAAACCATTTAAAAAAAAAAAAAACTATATTCTATAACATTATTACATAGGGGCACAAAAGCTAAATGTTGAAGTAGGAGAAGTCCGCTAAACAGGGATAAATGCGAGCTGCAATATACGTCCTCTTAATATTTGGAGTGTATTTGTGCTGTATGATATGGATTTTTTAAATGATTAGCATTTTTATGTGATGTAAGAATAAAAAATTAGTTTTTATAATAGCCAGTCCATAGTTTAATCCATCTCTAGCACCTGAAAAGTCCCAGTGATTCAAAAAAAATTGATTTTTGCTTTCTACATGAAGTAGACTGAAGGCATTATAGCAACACTGACTTTGACTGGAGCATTGCTTGCCGATTATTATTTTAGTACATGTTTGGGGTACATATTTGTGTCAAGTATCTCACTTGGAAATAAAGTTTTTTTTTTGTTTATATATATATATATATATATATATATATATATATACACACACACACGCTCTGAACTCCATGAAATAGCAAAAATCCTCCCTCCTGCCACCTCACTGCAAGGGTTAAATGCTCATTTACAAATAGGGCACAGGGAAAATCAATTTTACTTACCTGACCCTCCGCTACTGCATGCTCCTCTGTGCTTCCTCCCCTATGGTCTGGCAGTTGGATGCCCGTGACATCAAGGCTGATGCAGGACCAATAAACTCTGCATTGGACAAGAGGATGCCAAGGAACAGTCTACTGCCAAAGCACCGTCTGCCGGGGGATTGTCAGACCTGGTGAATAAAACTTCTCTCTCCCGTCCCCTATTTCTAAACAGTGCAGCCCCACTGCAAGGGAGGATTTTTACTGTACCTGGAGTTGGGCTTTAGGCTCAGTTTACAATCTTGCTGGTCATGCAGCCAACATTTACTCGGGCATGGCAGCCCATTTTTTTGATTGGGCTGCTGTGCCTACGTTTCCGCATTAAAAAAAGGTACATACACCTTTTTTGAAAATGCGGGCCCAGGGAAACCACATGGTCATTTTGACCATGCAGTTCTGGCACCCGCAATCATTGCGGTTTGAGATGTGTGGGGGTGCCATTCAGAATGAATGACAGCCCTGCACATCTGGAAGGAGCAGTGTGATTCGGCTGTGTGTGGTTTGCAGGTGTGGGAACCGATGCGAATCCTGCACATGCGACCAGCCCGCACGTGTGAACCGAACTTTAAAGCACATTGGGCAGTAAGGCCAGGTGGCTAAGTAGACAACAGAGTTATTTGTAGGCCTTTTTTATACATAAAGGGGGAAAAAAAGGTCTATATGCTTGTTGATTAACAGAGCAGAAAATCCATCTGATTAGGGGCCAGAAAAGTATGACTGAAAACCCAGATTGTGTGCCTATGCATATTTGACATCATTCTTCCATCTTTGATTGTAAATGTAATCCTTACATCTATATCAAATCAGTTCATATTCAAGATTACTTTTGTTGAAGTTGTTGTGATCAAAAATAAAACTTAATGTTTGTATATAATTTTCCTTGATCGCCGAGTTTTTTTGTTCTTATATGTACAGGCATATTTAAGTACCTTGTTAGTATGGATTTCATGCCTATCCAGCTAGGAAGTATACTCAGGTGTCATGTAAATTGGAACCAAAAAATGGTACTAAAAGAAATACCTCACAAATCTCTGTAAGAGCCTCAGTTCTTACATAGTAAAGTACACATATGTCTTCATTGTTCTCTGATATCAGCTATTCTAGACTAATAGGCTGTGTTGACAAGCTGTGGGCTTGTGTCAATTGGTGAATGCAGCTTTCTTGAGACATTGTTCAAGATGCTTGGAAGATATTTAGAATTCAGCAGGTTCAGTTGGCCTCCTTCCAACATGCATTCATTTGGCCTGCTGCAAGATGCTTTCACATTCCCATAGATTTGTACAGGAAGGAAAGCATTTTCGATCCAAACAAATGCCTTTTGACTCAAGCCCAAAGGGCTCACCTAAATCTAAGCTATGCCGTGCAGTTCATAACACCACCTATCTATCACATTCAAACCGTTCTTTATTTTCTGTATCCCTATACCTAATCGTACCAATCGGGGATATATATATATATATATATATATGTATACATACATACATATATGCTGCACTGTGAAGGACCATGCCTAGATGCAGCGCTTTTGGTGCATCTGACATATAAAGTACAGTGATTGGTGTTCTATTAGTAAATATAATCACCACACAAAAAACTGCAGGTCATTTTGAACTGCATTTGTTTTCAATGAAGATGTGTGACCAAAGCGTTAATGGTGCTTGCCCCTGTTCTATAAGAGATATGTAAGATTGTTGAAGAAATTGGAAGATATTTGCCTTTGCTAAAATATCTTCATTTCCAATAAAGCTGTAAACATACCTGTAAAAGCTATTAAAAGATCTTTCACAAAAACAACCTGTATTTTGATGGCCTTGTCTTTTAGTTTGCTGAATTGAGTTTTAGTCCAACTAAAATTCCCTTGTCTAGCTTTATATAATTTAAGAATTTAAAGTGTCAGTTTGTCCAAAATTAATTTTTCAATTGTAGGTGGATCTGCCTGCCCATTGAGGAATTTTGGCTGTTCTCACTGATTCTGTTGCATTTTTAAGATCTAAAACGAATTACAAATCTGAAAAGGAGAATAGGAGTCCTCATGACTGCTGTAGTAGTTTGTTTATAAACCCCTTAAGCCATACGTAAATACATCTAAAAATCAGAAATCTGATAGTATGTTGTAGGTTATTATACAAGGATGCTTAAACAAATAATAGGGAAAGTATTGTTTTCATAGCATTTCTTTCTATATGTATAATTTGTAATGCAGCAGCATGCATGTCTTTATTTTTTTTTTTTCCTTTTTTTATACATAATTTCTTCTTGACCAAAATTTATATGCAATATGTACAATAAATAGTAAATAATGTGAATTAGCCTGTTTTACATGAAACATACAATATCCATTAGATACTAACGACATGTAGTTTTTTTTTTGCAATGCGTTGATTTGTGGTTGCTGTTTTCTAATTGTGTTTAAACATTTTATACTTATGGATACTTGAGAAGCAGGCTTTAAACTGGTCTAATAAATGAAAAACATGTTTAACCTTCTGAAACTTTTCTTTTCACTAGTTTGTTTTGATTGTGTGTATTATGATTAATATGTTTGTAAGTTGCTGAAAATGGGTTTAAATGTTATAATGTAGACCAGAATGAATAACCTTTTTAAATTGAAACTTTACTAAC